GCTCTGGAGGTGGAGGAGGTAATTTTTAGGTCATGTTACTTATACTGTGTAGTCCATTACACTGGAAAGCCTTTTAAGAGATGACGAAGGTTTACTTGAAACTAATGCTATTTATAGCTTAAATCGTTATACTGTAATCAAGGTAATGGATGATATTGGTATTTTTTATTCGATTTTAAGGTGATTCTTGTGGCAATCATTACGGTGGAGGTGGTGGAGGAGGTCAGTAAACAATTCTTTTTGTGTTTTTCCTCAACGTGATCGAAGCCAAGATACTTCAGTCAGCTCTATTGGTTAGATGTTGAATTTGAGGTCGAATGTGACTTAGGATTTGGGCTCAAGCATCCATAAGTAACATTTCGATTGAGCGCTGTAAAACAAAAGCAAAAGCAACAACAGCGTTCGATCGTAACAACAATAACAACACCCATGATCAAATTGCAATTGGTTTTAGTTGTGCATCTGATTGGCTGAGAGAATGGCACGAGTTTTGTAGACCAATTAAAGAGCGAGGTGAAGAAAACTATTTGAAACCGTCGCAATTTCGGATTATCTTAACCATTGAAAGGGAGGTATGCTCCAGATAACATACAACTTTCATAACTCTTGGCCGGACTTTCAGCACAGTTAAAGACAATCTTTGAAAGGTTTAGATTCTCAAAATGCAGTCGATCTTGTAGTTTAGCGGCGGAGACAAAACCTAAATGATTTGTGGTATTATTTCTCTTCCAAATTGAACGATCTTTGGTTTGTTGCCAAAGTGGACTATTTACGATCTTTTATATTTACGTCAACGTCTTAGATCTTTCATGGACTGAAATGACGAGGTTTTATGACAAATTTCAATGTTTTCTAGCAAGGAGACTTCTATGAATGAATCTCTTACCCACCGCAAACTTAGGTGTTCTGGAGAAATTCGTTCTCTGTATAGATGAAAAAATAAATAAATAACACATATGCAACTGACCTGGAAGCATAAATGACACCTTCAGGATCCACGGGGGCCCCTACTATTTTGTTTATATTTAGGCGGACTCCAGTTTGGCCATACCAACTTCACTACTCACCTGAGCTACGGAGGGGGGGAGGTGGAGGGGAGGAGCAAGTGTTCAGTGATGACCCCAACCCCGGAGGGAAAGGAGGAAGTGGAGGAGGACTGGTGTATTTACAGGTTGGGAAACTGGTACTACAAGGGACCATCAGTGTAAAAGGTATGAACCAGAAAAGCATAAAACCCACCCCTCCCCTCCAAAGTCTCAACCCGTTAGCTCCCAGAAGTGATTAACAAGTAACTTCTCCATGTATTGTTCATACATTATCCAGTAGACAGGTAATGAGAATGCTGTTTTATTTCAAACTAAATTCTCACAGCTTACTTACATAGAAATTTGTAGTAGATAGAGGGAAGAATTAATAACCAGATCTTGGGAATTTAACGGGTAAACTTAGAATCCTTCTTCTCAGAGAAATGTTGTTGAAAGACCAAGTTTTTCGATAATGTTCAAACCATACCTTATTCCAGACCTAAATAATAAAAAGCGATCCCTTTTCATGACTTAAATGAATAACAAACAAGATAATAGAGTCTATTGGTCAAAAACTACACCCTCTGAGCCGCAAACGCCCGTAGAATGTAAAAGGAAGCAGTGGAGGTCAGAACTAAAAATGAGAAATTGTTCCACGTTGTAAATCTGTGGCCTGGCTGTTTTATGGAGCTAATACTTTACTTTTTACGCAGGAAACTCTGGACAATGTCTCAATCGGAAAGGTCACAGATCAGCCCCTGGGGGAAGTGGCGCTGGGGGCAGTGTTGTCATCTTTACCAAGAAACTCATCGGAGATCCGAAGACTAAAATTTCCGTGTCCGGAGGGGATCCTGTAAAATGTGCTTTTGGAACTGGTGGTGGTAAGCAAACAAAGTCCTTTGCAAACCATGCCGTGAGAACTGCTTAGTGAAGCTCAGTAAAATATCGGTCCACCCAAGCTTTTGGTCATATTATACGCTCTGGTTAAAACCTTATCTTATGGCAGATGGGTTTAGGGTTCAAAGAAACGTATGGGATAAGAGTTTAGGGTACGGTACGGGATGAAGTATCGCAACCCGCGGGATCGGAAAGATAAGAGCTTTCCAGAGAACCAGAGATCAGGCTCTTTAAGCGGATGAAAGCAACATTACAAAATGTATTTTAACAGGAATTTAAAGTTTTCGAACAGTATTTAGAACCGGCCAGTACTGCTAAGTACGCATTCAGGAACAGAGTGAGATAAAAGACAACCTAGAAAACAATTTTGGATAACTTCGAAATGGGCGGAAGTGGATCTAAAATAAGTGATTTTTAGGATTTATTTTAACTAACTTCACTTTTCCTCGCGACCATAAACCCTTCGTACCCTAACATAGGTCTCTATATTCTCCATACAGTACGCTATACAGTTTCTAAGAGTGCTGACAAGGAGAATTTTTTCACCCATCAAAAGCTTCTCTAGATGGTGATAATTCCTTTTGACCTTTGATTCAGCAACGATACTGTCAGTAAGAAAAAGATACTTTACTTTAGGGGTCATTCACAAGTATCATTATGCGGCGATTGATGTGGTTCTCTCTCGATGATGTGGAAGATAGAATTATTCATATCTAATCAATTGATTTTCCAGGTGGTGGTGGTGGTATCGGACGCTGGGTTGTACAGGAAGGTCAATCCACCCATCACGGCTAAATCCGTCATGGACCTTAAAAAGACTAAGCCGAAACAAGTGAAGAGTACCGCTAAGAAGTTCCTTGCTTTAGATGATTTGTTCTCTGCTGTATAAGCGTAGTGTATCGGAATTAAATTAGCTGTAGTTGAAGTAACAAATAAAATTATTTGAATCTAGTCAAAGTCTTGAGGATTTATGATACCGAACGATCGAGCCTATTTATCATTTTTTTTTTTTTGGCCTACGAACAGACGCTCATTATCAATACTTTGGTACGAGCTTTCCTTTGCCCGCGAGGAATTATGGGGCTTTGAGCTACGCGAAGCGATGAGAGGTCTGCAGGGGGTCCCGTTATTAGTCCCAGACTCTCTCACCTCTCCTAGACTCGTCTCAAATCTTCCTGCGTGTGGAGAAACGCGCGTTCTCGAGCACTGATAATGAGGACATGCTCGTAAGCTATTTCTTTTCGTGGCAGTCATTCTAGCAAGTCTTATCCAGGTCTTTACCCTCTCTGTTTTTTCCTTTAACACAAAACAGAAGGCAATGTACAGTGTAGTCCGTAAAATTAAAACGTGCGAAAGCTGAAGAAATTTTTTTAGAGGAACGTACCATTGCAAATAAACTAGTTTTCACTCAATATTTTGTGGATGTGTTTATTTCGTGTTACGGACGATGAAAAGTTTTGGCGTGAGAAAGGTGTGGTTGGAGTAACTTTAGACCAAGAGCGCGACAGACGCGAGTCTGTAAAGACGGAGAGGTAGTCGTTCAGAATTCAGAATGTCTGCTTCCCCTTTTCTCTTTCCTTGATCGATTTGTTCAATCTAAGTTGTTCTTTCTTCGACGATCGTGAGTGCCTCTTTCTCACCTATGATCCCTTTTCCAGGCCCCAGTCGCTCTAAGGGTAAGTATTGCCGTCCGATGAATAAATCTGTACTAAGTGGATAGCCAGCACGTCTGCTGGATAGCTATTTATTAGTTAAATAACGTTGTCCGCCCTTAGAAAAAAGACGATCCAGGAGATTTAGAGAATGAATCGATTGTCTCTGGCTTATTGTTACAGAAATAAATACATTGCGAGATCAATTCACCACAATGACAGATCCATGCGTTCGACTCATCGCACGTTGAGTTTTGCACTGGCGGCAAAGGGCTTGGAATCCTTCTCTTTCGACGCATCCATGCCTGTTGGGAATCTCTGTTTTTGCTCAGTTGTTGGAGATAGAAGTTACCTATACCCACAGTTTGGCATGAGAACGGTAAATCTCATGCCAAACAATTTCTAATCTGAACTTTACCGGGAAACACTTCCGCTATCAGTGGGAAATTTAGAGTCCAGTTTCAAACTTTTCTGCCTGGAAAAGTAAGTGGCCGCAAGAATGGGACAAGGCAGTGAAATTTTCGAAACTGTTATGGTATATTTCTGTTTCCTCAAAATAAAAAATGAAGAAAGAAAATCGTTACAAAAATGTGCTTTAGCTTAATATCTTAAAACAAAACAAAAAAAATACCAAAACACTGATGACAAAAAATTACGATTATTTACATACTTTAATCGCCCCTTTACACTACATACTTACTAGCTAAGTTGAGACTATTCGAGGTGTCAAAAAACTTCTTTGCCGTTACGAAATGCATTTATTGTCTCGAAACTCGAAAAAAAACGCGACTGCATTGTTGGTAAAGATACTGTTGCTAATAGGCTATAAAACTTCAAGAAACTTCAAAACTTTTCGATGCAGAGGGTTCTTTTACAACTTTGGCTTATTAAATTTCTAATGGGATAGATGATCACGTCACGGTTAGGTGGAGTGCAGGTGCCACTTGTTTATCACTCATGGAGAACCTACTGAGTGCAAATCGAGTACATTCATAGCCTGCGAGGAGGCGTTTTCGTCCCGCGGGAAGGTTTAAAACGAGTCGGGGAGAGGTTTACCTATCGCTATCTCGCGTTCCTTAAAGCCTCCTAATTTCCCAAGGGCGAAGAAAGGTTTGTGCCGAAGCGACAATAGTGAGCACAGGCTAGTACATTCGTGTATTTTAAGTTATTGATTAGTTAAATCTCTTTATTTTTATTTCCCTTTTTTTTTATATGCGGAAGAATTTTGGTGGGAAAGTCTCCTATAGGGCGGAAAGCAAAGAAGTGTCTTTTTGCTCCGACATAATTACGAAAAAAAAAGATTACTTTCGCAGGTAATAGTTTTGAGGATAGAAGCACTTGCTCTCCTCGGTGACGCGAAAAAAAGAAGCATACTTCACGATTTTACGAGCGTAATACGTAAAACCTTATAAATGTCTCCGGTGTCTTATTCATTTTGTATAACATAGATGTTAGGTTGTTTATCTTCGCGCAATCTCTGCCTTGACGGCGAGCGGGGAATACACAAGGAACACTTCTCCTCTCTTGAACGCTTTTGCAAGATCAGAATCAGCAGGGGCCCGGCAATTAGAAGAGACACGAACACTGTGAACACGATAAAACCAATTCTCGCTGATAGGAAAAAAAAAAAAGTAAAGAACAAAAATAAAGACAAAACTTTCTGAGTTCTACTATGGAGGGCCACAGAGCCCTAATGGTCAGCGAGCAGGACTCCAGGTAGAGAGATTTGGGTTCGAGCCTTGATCAGGCCATTGTATTGTGTTATTAGCCACAATATTTAATTATCCCTGTTGTCGTACTTAGCCATAAGAGACAAAACAAGAGAGACCAAATAGAAAAACCAGAAACTAATAAAATCAAATTACTTCCTACCTGAAGAACATGAAGATTGACCTGGTTTTGAGGTGAAAAAATCGTTCTTACACTTGGTGCACGATGTCGACCTGAAACAAGTCAATATATCTATTCATTCTTGACCCTTTAACTCCCAAGATCTGATTGTTAATTCTCCCATCTAACTGCTATACATTTTCTTGTTAATAAGTCACGAGAATTTGGTGTTAAATCAGCTACTTGATAAATTTGAGTATTCTTATAACATGTTGGTTGGACAATGCGTGTATGTTATAGCAAGAAGTTACATGTTAATCACTTATAGGGGTTAAAGGGTTAAAGTATCACGAGGTAACTTTCATATTTCAACACATGCACATAAGACACCTCTATAAAGATCTCTAGAAATACTGCATATTTATTCCATAATCTTCATACAAATAAAGCGGAATTTTACAAGAGGGAATGCGCACTTGACCTAAATCTATTTCGGGAATAGGAAACGGTCTACTAAACTGTCAGTTGCAGTAATGTCACGCAGAAATGTTTTCATTGCTTCCTTACACAAATCTTAATCCTTAAAACTCAATAATGGCGCATGCTACACAGTGTACTGAGGTTGAGTTCTCTGAGTTTATAACCAAGGAAGAAACATCTTTACAAGTGCCTGTTTTCAGAAAACTGGAATCTTATCAACCACAACAAGAAAAAAATAATAACAAAAATCAAAATAATAATAATAATAATAATAATAATAATAATAATACAAACCCTGTCTTTGATGCAAAGGCACCCTTTGCACAACGTGTGCACTGCATGCTTCTTGTCTTTGAACTGTATGTTCCAGCTGGACAGCTGCAAGATCACAAGCAATTAAGTTTAATACTTCAATGTGTTTGGTGAAATTTTCTCTGATGAGTATTAATAAGGGAAACAGACACCAAAGGGTCTGTTAACAATCCATATAGAGCACTCACATTTTAATGAGCCCATCTCTGTAATAAGCTCCCCTCTCTATTCATTGGCCCTCATAAATAAGACTCCTCTCTTAAAAGTCCTCATCTTAAATTAGCCCCCCCCCATCTTGAGCTTTCCTGTCAAAGATCCCCTCCCTAAGAAGCCCTTGTCTCCACAAGCCCACCCCTCTTCCATTATAACAAGGCTCCCTCAATGATAAGCCCACTGTCGAAAAAACACCACCCTTCTGTTAGAAAATCCTCCTCTTGAGTATGCCCCCTCTCTGATTTGCCCCCTCTCAGACATGCCCCCTCTATAACAGCCCACTGTCCAACAAGCCCTTCTCTCTTTTCTAATAAACCACCTTTCTAAGAAATCTCCCCTAATGACCTGCATGGTAGTTCCAGGCTCTATTACAAATTTGGACTGGTCAGGCTACATCCATATGTACCTTAATACTTGCATCTACTCAAAATCATTTATTGTGAAATGAATGCTTAGAGTTTTCTTCCACTGTCTATTTTCATTTATCTCACAAGAAACCTCCCTTCAGCTTCTACCTATAATACAGTTTACCTTATTATTACAGTTTACCTTGTGCATTGTAGCATGCTTTTGTTTGACGCAGTTCCTAAGCTGTAAGTTCCTACTGGTAATTTCAACCTAAAACTTAAAAATACTTCAGAATTTGAAACTTCAACCAGACATATTACCTGGGCAGTCTGCATCCACAGTGCAGTCATCACAGGACACTTGATGAACGTTTTGCAACAGCACAGGTGACAAAAACAAACTCTTATTGACCATGTTACAGCTGAAATCACATTCCTCATAACCAACAAAAAAACAAAGTTATTAGTCATACTATAAAACAAATTGAAATGTGTCAACATCTTTTGATTCATCACTCCTTTAACCCCCCCTGAATCAAACATTTTAATGTTTGATTCAGGGGGGGTTAAAGGAGTGAGGAAATGTGTAGAAAAACAGTATGGAGAACCATCTTAGGTTGTGAAGGGTTAACTGCTCGAAATTCAGAGCTAAAATAACTTGAAAAGCTTGCTGTGACCTCTATACTCACCTCTAAACTGGCCAAGGAATGATTATCATCTAAAAACAGCAAATGTCCAACATTTCTGATAAATTTTGTTCCAGAGAGTTTAAGATGTGAAACATGTCCCGTAATAATAGAACCACCTGCCAGTACTTTGTTTCCTTCCAAATATGAGTCAACAATAGATGTTTGATTAATGTTTTCTACAGTGAGGACAGGCCCAACATTCTTCACAAAGTTGCAATTTAAAATCTGCACGAAGTTGTGAAATCCTGAAAGAGTTGCCATCGATAGTAATGGTAACTTTGGATGGTAACCTGAACTGCTTGAAATGTTGCTGTACTTAAGAATAATGTTGGATGAGCTACCAGTGATGCTTATATTTGTTCCTTTTACAGTGCACTGGCAGATCGCCACATCTGACATAGAGGCTTGGTGAATCACTGGCCTGCTATTTAGCCAGTGAAGATCAATCAAGCTCACTTCACAGAGCAGCACGTCTAATGAATAGTCAACTTCGACCAATTGTTCATTAACCCTATTTTAAAAAAAGTTACAAAAAAACTTTTAGAGGAAACCAAAGGTGAAAAATAGATTGCAGCATTTTTTATAAGCAAAGTTGGAGAAAATCAAAATACAAAGCGGTTGATAAGTTATCACGTGAAAAAGCCATTGGACACACACACAAAACCATATTACTCTGTTCACTAACCGCTCTCCCCAAAAAGTAACTTTCCGTAAGCTCCATCTTCCACAGTCCAGTTTAATACTTTCCAACTCTTCGTATTTTCCCGTGGAAATATTAACAGTTAGCGAGCTAACGTTCTTTCTAACCGCTAGATTGACGGCGTAGGATATGCTGTAACAGGGCTTCGATGAAGCCCCACAATTAGGAGAGTTTACTCCAGAAGTGTTGACGAAAAAGGTCGTTCCGGCATACAAAGGACAGTCTTGGTTTAAGATCTCCTGCTGGAGTGCAAATGCCGGAAATACTAAGCAGAGAAATAATTTTACCACGCCTAACATGGCCTTCATTATCAAGAGGAGAATTTAATGGATTTTAACCTTGGAATAATACTTAGCACGTGAAGAAGCGTCCGCCATTGCTGCTTCTAAAGGATGCTGGGAAAGTACGTGAAAAGAAAAACTGAGGAGTGGACTTTAGGGACCAACGGACTATACTCTGTCCCATTCGTTAAACAATAACTGACTTGCCTCCAAGAAACATGATTGTTGCAGATCTACCAGCGGGCATAAAGTTCACTATAGCATAGCTCACTGGCCATTCCGATTATTATTTTAAAAAGCACTTCTGTAGTTCTATGGGCCTCTCAACTTCAGTAGGTACCGGGGCAGGTCGAGAAAATAATTGATTCGAAGACTGTGCGTCACGAGAGAGAGCCAAATATTTTCCCCTACCTCTTGAACCAACCCGGTCGATAAAGATATTTTCATATGGCCACTCTTTCTCTTTCGACCCAGCACATTGCATTTTTTTCGAGCGAGACCGCACACAGGGCCATGCGGCTTTTTGCGCCATCGCTTACTGTCTGTGTGAGACCGTAGAGGTTATTTCAAATGCATAGAATCTTTCAAAACGCATCATTCTGAAAAGGCCTCATTCTTTGTGTTAACAGGTTAAAAACAGAGGCTTTTGAAAACGGTAGTGTATAAAGCGTCACATACGGTCGATTTTAGGAGCAGTTTCGGGCGTTGTAGCGTGAATGATTGGGAAAAAAGCATCAGTAGTTCAAATTAAAAGTTAATTGTGAGGAAAGTTTAAAACTATACAGAAAATATTGCTTTGTTTAAGGTTACACGACACGGAATATTTCTGAAAACCAATCGCATTAAATTATCCTCAAATAAAATAAATTCGTCATGAAATATTTAACAATTATTTCATGACCGCGCGTTGGATATGAGATGATAAATAGCCAACAAGGGACATAGAGCCAAGTTAACTTTCAACAATCTCGTGTCCAACAAGTGCGAATGGAATAATTGTTTCATTAAATTTCGTTAAATCCTTAATGTTTGGATAATTAGAGCCTTTTTTTTCCCTTCTCAACAATTAGCGCAATGTATTTCCATATAAGGTGACCCGGATTATGAGCTAATAACCGGAATTGAGTGAACCAGTCAGAACACCAGAAATGTAATATCCGGAGTTGAAAATTTAATAATGACCATTAGCTTTTATATTTGAATGCTAGATCACAAACTCTTTTTCGCGATCAAAAGTGCGTAAACCATTTTTCCTCATCCGTCCTTGGTATACATGTTGGTTTACGCAATTCCGTTCCCTGTTTGAGATTCATTCCATGTGATTATTGCGTTGGCATATCTTTCTCGATGATTCATGCAGAAATATTTAAAGTAGATCGAATGATCAAACGATTCCTAGAATTTTAAAATAAATGATAAATGTTTGCTAGCACATTAGCGTGAGGGAATTTTTGTCTTAAAAAATATCAACAGTTGTTTCAAGGCAGCCGGCTGTAAACACAAAGACAGTGTTTGCTTTTAGTGTCAGCATGATCGAAAATTGCGTTTAGGTTGTAATGACTCAATATTTGTAAATGCAAACACAACTTTTTAGAGAACTTATTTCTACTCCAGTCCCATTTATGTAAAGTCAGGTAGAAAAAACACCGTATACATGATTTATAGCGCTTCTTGAAGAAGGCTTTCCAGCTGAAATATTATGGATATATTGAAAAATGCTAACGAATGCAAAATAGATGAGTTTAAAATTTAAATAAAATAATTTATCATTTCAATAATCGCACGCCCGATCTTAAAAACGTCAAAGATCATCTAAATTTAGAAGCAAAGAAGGCAGTTTCAGCCAATATGACAACAATCTACTCTCTTCGGAACCCGTACAAATTAGGGTGGACTTTTAATGATACCCAAGTGCTCTTTGTGCGTGCAGTCCACATTTTAGTGATAAACCACTTCGTTACTCAGGATTCAATCAGTTCGGTTTTACTCCTTCAAATGCTATAGCACAAAAAGAGGAAAGAGGATATAGCCTAATTTCTCGTCCGTCTGGTCATCAAATAAAGAGAGATTTTAACAATTGTTTGTCATGATCGTGAGACAAGGAGTAAAACAGAGAAATTTTTTTCCGTCTTTAAACTCATTCCTATAAGGAATCGAACCTCTGACAGATCTTCGATTATCGGGCTCCGATGCTCTTCCATTAAGCTACAGAGACTCTATGCGTGTAAGTTACCAGGCGAATCCGAACTTCAAATGTTAGGATCTCGCACTCTGATGCACTACTACCAAGCTAGCTGCGGAGTACACGACAATTTGCTTGGCCTTTTTTACTTGACGCGGTCGAAAGCGTCGGATATAGAGAAAAAATTTGGAAGAAAGATGGTAAATTTTGCGCTCGCGCGTCGAATTAAGAAATGTTTTAAACGTCTATCACATTGTGGGACTAATCCCACGCTTAAGACAATATGTCAACATCTTTTTCTTTTAGGAACTAAGGATTTAATGCATAAATGCTTCAGTTGTATTTACTATTTTTTCAGTTTTGATTACCAAAAAAAAAAAGCCATTCTTCTAAGTGGAGGGGTCAACGCATCACTCACCCATAACACTTTTTCCGTTTTATGTGAGTGTTTTCATTCCTTAGGCAATATTCAGTCAGAACAGCTTATAAAAAATACACAGAGAATATGCGGAAAATCTAAATTTGACTTGAATTGGCAACTGTTTGACGCACTTTGTTCTATAGGCCGAATGTCAATCTAAACCGTCCTAACCAATAAGATCACAGAGTATGGCAAAAATTCGCCATCAGTCACAAGCTTTAAGCCAATCAAATCACATATCCAACATTACATAACTTGACAAGTCCTGTTTTTTTCATCATTATTATTTTGCACTTGCAGGGTTCTGCATGTACTGAGACGAATCTGTTTAACCTCAGAGTCAAGAATAATATTTCTTCGTAACTAGGTAGGTGACACATCTCTATTGCAAGAAAGCGTATGGGTACAAGTATCTATCATAGTCAGGCTAAAGAATGTATCTGATTTTTTACTCAGACGCGATTTCTTTCTGGCACGTAGTAAAATTAACTTTTTTTAAATCGATGTAGCCCCCGAACACGGAAAAAATTAATTCAGGATTGACGAAACTTTGCACAGCTCTAAGTTTATTTCTTAGCGCTCTCCTGTAGTCACTATTCAAAAATACAAGTCGAAAGCAATGTTTAAAGATCGATTATGTCATAATTCTCAGTGGGTAGAATAATTCTTAAGACCCACTTATCAATATTATTGGATGCTTAATGTTGCGAATGGGGTCTACAATTTTTTAATCAACAGTTTGTTCATGTTTCCTTTCAAGCGAGACATTCATGGTTGGCAGATTTTTAAGATAAATAGCCGAGTCGAGAAGTGTTTTGCGCATCTTTTCCAATGGTTTCTGCTTTATAAATAACAGACGAGGAATAACAATTTGTTATTTGGCACAAGCACTATGGTTGTAGACTTCAACAAGGACGAAATACATTTATAGCAATGGAGTGAACCCTTGAGTTCATACATAATCTATTCAGGAAGATGCCAATTAAGATATCTAATGACCCCAACTGCGTGTTTAAGAACGTTCTCACGATCTCGCCTCTAGCTGTCTCACTTCTCAAGTCCCAGATACCTTTTTTAAAGGCCTTGTCTCCTTAAAAGAAACTGTTCTCGGAGATTTTGACCTAAGAATCACCCCATGCACTGCAGTCCTTTGACTCATTTATTAGATTGTTGAACTTTTGCTTATTCATCGCGTAGGGCTGAAAGCAAATAGAAGCCAGTTGTATTATAGTCTGCACTTCTGCCGACGGAGAGATGATCCATAAACTTCATTTGCTGCCGCTGTTGTTTTTATGGTTGGCATGTTTCATCCATTCGGTCAGTATTTCGTCATGTTGGTATGGCAGTTTTAAGTAGATCAATTAGGAAAAAGGTGACTCAAGAAACTTGAGCTTGCACAGAAATTTGGCGGGTAACAGCAGTGTTTACGTACTTTTATCTAATCATGCTAGCCGACCAATGTGAGCGCCCGCCTTCTCAGATACCTATAAAACTGTGAGAAGAACTTATGTATTGATCCCCACCAGGGGTTAAAGGATAAACAGGAATAAAAGACATTGACGGCTTAAATCTCCCTCACCTTTGGAAAGCTGCAATGCAGAAAATAGTACTAAACACGTACAAAGATACTGACCAAACGGAAAGGTAAATCTTGTTAAGTGCACAAGTGCAGTTGACGGTGAAACACATGTCCACTGTTGTAATTTTGTAACTGTTGTATGTTAATTAATTATAATCAATTATCGATCAGCGCTGAATGATGCACGTTTCTCCGCCAGCGGAAAGATTTGAAACAAGTCGGAGAGAAGTTTGCCGGGAGTCTGGCCCTAGCTCATTTTCAGTGCTAGACCCTTGCAGACTTCTCGTCGGTGTGTGTAGCTCAGGGCCTCCTCATGATTTCCCGCGAGCTAAGAAATGCTCTTTACTACTCGCAGGATAGTTGTAAATTTAGAAGTACGCATGCACATATTTTGCACACTTTTTCGCAAACTAAACGAGAAAACATCTATTTCTTTGTCTGTAGGGAGTCCTAGGATGTTCAGATTGCACTGATGTTGAGAGTAAGTTATTTTCACTGTCTACTCGACTTTGGTCATGACGGAGAGGGACTGGGTAAAGTTAGCACGACTACTTAGGCAAGCAAACTGAGAGATGTGAAAAATACACAAAGGAGTTTTTTCCGGAATTGGGTGGTAATAGTAGGGAGTTGTGGTATGATATTTTATGAGAAGACAATAGATGAGTCTACGGAAAAGTATGGGACATATTTTGGAATCTATCAGGCAATTCACATAGGACTGGATCTCAGATATGTTACACCTCCTACTTGGGTAGATTCTACTTCTCGTATCTTATGGCGGGATGAAGTTTTCCCTGAATAATCTTTTTGTTTACAACATAGCAAATGGCTTTGTATGCGATGGA